GGGAAGAGAGGAGGGGTCACCTTGGGGAGCTCCTGTTGGGGATACGGTGTGGGGGGGGGTCCCTGTGGGGTCACCCCTGCTGGTGGGTTTGTGTCCCTGTTGGGAGGGTGGCAGCTGCAGCCCCCAGGGGGTTGTCAGGGTCTTGGGGTGACAGGACTGGGGGGTTGGGGGGTGATGGACTGGGCTGGGGAGCACCCTGGGGACCAGCAGGTCTTAGGGTGAGGGGAGTATGAGTGACCCGCTGGTGCTGGGCCACCTGGGGACATCTCTGGGGACACCAGAGCCACCAGCTCCAAGGACACCTCAACACTGTGGCCAGCAGCTTCAGCAACGTGTCACCACCAGGGCCACCAGCTCTGGGGACACCTTCGCACAGGCACCAGCTCCAAGGACCTGTCAGCACCTCCAGGGACACCTCCCCGTGGCCACCACCAGCTTCAGGGACATCTCAACAACATGGGCACCAGCCCTGGGGACGTGTCACCCCCACAGGCATCAGCTCCAAGGGCACAGTTGCCACCTCCAGGGACACTTGACTGTGGCTACATCACCATGGGCACAAGCTCCAAGGACACCTCACCAACAGTGGCAGCAGCTCCAGAACACTTTGCCACCAGCTCTGGGGACACCTCACCACGGCCACCAGCTCCAAGGATGTATCACCACTCCAGACACGAGCTCTGGGGACACCATCACCCATGGGTGCCACCTTGTTACCACTACAAGCACCAGCTCTGGGGACACCTCACCATGGCCATGAGCTTCAGGGATGTGTCACCAACATGAGCACCAGCTCTAGAGATCCCTCATGACAGGGAGCAGCTCCAGGGACACCTGCCACCACTGCAGCAAACATCTCCAGGGACATCTCAGCTACATGGACACTGCTTTTGGAGCCACGGTCTCCAGCTCCAGGGACACCCCCAACCACCATGGCCAGCAGCTCTGGGGACACCACCTCCAAGGTGCCACCATAGTGGGTGTTCCTTCCCCACTTTTTGAGACCCCCACATCCCAAAGCCCTGGGATTTCAGGGTCACCCTGCAGGTGGGGGGGTCCCACCACCACCATGGCTGGGGGGGACACGGGGGGGGACACACACACACCCCCCTCAACCCCCCCAGACTTAAAGGGCACCAGGGACACCCCCACAGGGTCACACAGTCCAGAGGAGGTGACACCAGACCTGTCCCAACCACCCACGGTGGCAGCTGGGGACATCACAAGGCACCAGGGGGAGGGATGGACCCAAGATTTTCCTTTTTTTCAGTGTTTATTAAAAACAAAACAGGCAAAAAAAAGGGGGGGAGGGGTTGGTGTGTTTCCTTTTTTTTTTTCCTTTTCTTTTCTTAAAAAGACCGAAGTGGGGTTGGG